TTGATGCGGTGCGGTGCGGTGTGAGGCTTGGACAGACCCTCGCCACGCCAATCTTAGTTGGGGGAAACAAGACCGCCTTTAACCTTGAGACAAGACTCGACGCTAACGTCGTAAGGGTTGCGTATAAGGTACGTTCGTATGGCAGAATAAAAGATACCATTAACGAAGGTTTGTACTAGATCATACTTATAGAATTATGTGTTCTATGTTTCCACAGTTATATATACTGTGATCTTACTGTGCCCTCACGTGAGTAGATTTTGTTTTCTTAAAATACGGTTTTGAAGTCGGACTATATTGGGTTTGTGTTTTGCATCTGACTCTGATGTGTCGCGCGTGTGAGTTCACGTGACACTAGCTTCCAAATGTTATGTGTGTTTTTTTTGGATTGTGAAGTGCCCAGATTCTGTTGAAGTTTTTGTAATTCGCTCCATCGGTTCTATTTTTCTGTGTAGAGAACTCTTCAAGCGTTGTTTTGATTCCGGCAGAAAAAAAACTTACCAGCAGCACGAACCACCCCAACAAGTTCCTTCCCTTTCCCATCTGTCAGCTCCAACTCATCTCCTCTCTTCCTGGTTCCTCGAATTCCTCCCGTACCTGCTCTCAATACCCTTCTCTCCCAACTGCAAACCCTACTCCTGCTACTAGTGTTTCCTAACACCTAGCCGTCGCCTCTCCCTCTCACCCCGCCGTTGCCCCTCTCTTTTACCCCGCCGTCGCCCCTCCCTTTTACCCCGTCGACGCCATTCCTTCCCATCCCACCTCCACCTCTCCCTCCCATCCCGTCGCCACCTCTCATTCCCATCTCGCCGCCGCCTTTCCCTCCCATCCCGTTGCCACCGCTCCCTCCCATCCCGTCGCCACCGCTCCCTCCCATCCCGCCCTCGTCCTCTCCCACCCCGCCGTTGCCTCTCTCACCTACCCCGCCGTCGCCTCTCACTCCCACCCCCCTGTCGCCTCGCCCTCCCACGCCGCCGTCGCCACTCCCTCTCACGCCGCCGCCGCCGCCTCTCCCTACCATCCCGCCGCCGGCTCTCCCTCCTATCCCGCCGCCGCCACTCCCCTCCCATCCCGCCACCGCCACTCCCCTCCCATCCCGCCACCGCTTCTCCCTCTTATCCCGCCGACTTCTCCCCCTCCCGTCCCGTTTCGCCACTCTCTCTCATCCCGCCGTCGCCACTCTGTCCCATTCCGCCGCCGCCTCTCCCTTCCAGTCCGCCGCCGCCTCTCCCTTCCATTCCGCCGCCGCCTCTCCCTTCCATTCCGCCGCCGCATCTCCCTTCCATTCCGCCGCCGCATCTCCCTTCCATTCCGCCGCCGCATCTCCCTCATCCCCGCCGCGCCACTCCCTCCCGTCCCGCCGTGGGGAGGTTTGTGAGCATGGATAAGGATGGTGCGCGAACGAGAGCTGGTGCACGAGCGCGGGATGGTCTTCGAGGCACCGTCATTTGCAGGTGCGTTTATTCCTCCCACCCCTCTAAAATTCCATTGTTCTCCTACCTTATTTGTCCTTTCTGTGTGTAGACTTGCCTCGTCTTGCGTTGCACTACCGATTGAAGAAGGGGAGAGAGGGAGCGTGAGGGGAAGCGAGCACGCAGGAGAGTGCGCGTGAGAGAGCGTATGTGAGAGCGAAGGAAGATCTGGAGGGAGCACGAAGCGCGTGTGGGAGAGAGAGGCGGGGGAGAGAGTGTGTGCGCGCTTGCGCCGTTTGCGTGGGTGCCTTGGGCGCTTGCGCCTAATCCGCTTGCGCTTATGTCGCTTGCGCTTAGGGCGTGTGTGTGTATGTGAGTGGTTGCAAGAGTGAGTCGAGAGTGTGCGAGAGGGTGAGTGCTTGTGTGGGTGTGAGTGCGAGAGTGAGATGCGCGCATGCACTCAAGGTTGAGTGTGGTTGTGAGCGGAAGGGCGAGTGCGAGGTCGAATTAGAGAGCAAGTGCATGAGTGAGTGCGTCAGTAGTGAGAAGGTGAGTGGGAAAGCAAGTGTGAGAGTGAGTGCGAGTGTAAGTGCGAGGGCGAGTTTGAGGGTGAGTGCGAGCATGAGTGTGTGTGTGCGTGCGAGGTTGAGTGCAAGTGCGTTCGAGTGTGTGTGAGGGTGAGTGCGAGGATGTGTGAAAGGGTGTGTGTGTTTTTGTGAGTGTCAAAGAAGAGTTGAGAGTATATTTGTGTGAGTGAAGAGTGAGTGCGAGAGTGTGAGGCTGAGTGAGTGAGTTGGTGGCTGCAATGTTGAGTGCAAGGGTGATCGCGGTGTGAGTGTAAGAGTGAGTGCAAGGGTGAGCACGAGTATGTGCAAGAGCAAGTGGGAGAGTGAGGGCGAGTACGAGTGCGAGAAGGAGTGCGAGCGTTAGTGTGGGTGTGACTGTAGGTGCGAGTGTGGGTGTGAGTGCGAGTTGAGTTCGAGTGTGTGTGCGCCATGTGTGCGTGTGCGTGTTCGAGTGAGTGCGAAGGTGAGCCGAGCACGAGTCTGAAGGTGAGTGAGGGTTTATGTGTGTGTTTCTGTGAGTGTCTCTAAGAGCGGTTGAAAGTTACTTGTGTGTCCATGGATGGTTGCGATCGTGAGTGCGAAAGAGTGTGAGGGAATGAGTGCGGGAGTGCGAGAGTGAGTGCACGCATGCACTTGAGGGTGCATGTGAGTGTGTGTACGAGGGTGAATGCGAGAGGAAGTGCGAGACTGAGGTGCGAGGATGAGTGTCAGGTTGAAGGCGAGGGTGGCTGCGATGTATTGCGTGCGTGCTGACATGGTACGTGTGAAGACACGAGGTCTTATACCGAATCACCTTCATGAGATGTCAAAATTGATTGTTTTTGACCCTCATCTTTCTTTTCAGTACTTCATTCTTCATCATCATATTTCTATAATGCCTACCTCGTTTCTTGTGCATCGAGTGGGCTGCATTCCTGTTATTTGTTTTCCTGTGTTGTGCAGCTCATGCAACTTGTATTCTCTGCTTTTCTTTTTGTTTGTGCAGGGAGTGTCAGCTGCATTATCTGTTTTTCTCTCTTGTCCAGGGAGTGTGGTGAGCTGCATGCCCTGTTTGTGCTTTCTTGTGCAGGGAGTGCTGCACTACGGGAGGGTCGAAAGAAAAGGGGATATTGGAAGGGAGGGGGGGATGGGAGATGAGGGAGGGAGGGAGGGGAATGTGGGCACTAACGATGATTTATACATGTCTGAACTCCATTCTTTACGCTTGCATTGCATGTTCAATAGCGGTAGTATGCTTTTGCGTTTGTTTGCGCGTGTATGTATGCGCGTGAGTGAGCCTGTATTTGTCTGTGCTGTGCATACATGTGTAAACGCATGTTGGTGTTGTTTGTGTCTGTTTTGGGGTGTGGTGCTAAGTGCCTCGTATATGCAACTGGGGTTGTGATCGTTGGTGGGGCAGCTTTGCTCGTCTCTTCCATACCAGATCAATCTCATTTGCATAATCGATGCATTATAGCACTAGCTTCGAAGCATTCACAACTATTGTCCCTCGTTTATGTACGTGTTTGTGTGCTCTCGTTTGTGAAACGTGTTGTCTGTTTTGGGGTGTGGTGCTAAGTGCTTCGTGTATGCAATTGGGGTTGTCATCGTCGGTGGGGCAGCTTTGCTCACCTCTTCCAACCATATCAACCTCAGTTGCAGCATTGATGCATTTAGTGTTCTCCTCGAAACATGCACGATTTCGAAATGCTGTTTTTGTACACGTTCTCTTGTGCGCGTGGTAATTTCCCCTCAAGTTTTTGTCCTACGGAACCAATTACTCCATTCGCCGTATTTATCGACGACTATGGAATGATTGGGTACATTTGGTTTCACATTTTGTGGTAGTTACGTGAACAGTGATTCCTTCAAAATTGATGGGGGGAAATCACTGTTCACGTCAGTCAACCGAAAAGTGAAAGCAACAACACGCGGGGCAGCCCCTGACACACATACAGTGCAGAACTTTTCAAAAATTCCACACAACCAATTACACAGATGCGCGCCAAATGGCCCATCTGACACAACCAGCACCACTCCCCCTGCCACTTTTTTTGAACGCGCTCCGCCCACCTCTCGTGCATCCACCACAACCAACCCACTCATCCACCTCAACACACACCACAGCAGGAACGGACACACAGTCGCACTAATCTCAACTCATCCACGATATTTTCTACTTCCTATGACGTCCCTACCACAAACGTTTCTCCGCCTACTTTTGCCCCTGTAAAACACCTGTCACCGCCAGCGGCCGTCCTCGACACCTCAAGGTTCCCTTACCATTGATGCTAGTGTTGGTGCCGCCTAAGAAAAAGACGCCTCAGGGTTTTCCTCCATCGAAGCTTCCGTAGTTGCCACCGGAACATGGGGGTTAAAAGCCTGTGGTCGCTTCTCGAGCCGGCGAGGAGAACCATCCCGCTTGAAGATCTCGAGTAAGACCCCACTAATGCAGCTCCCTTGCCAATGACCTCGTTCCTCTCTCCGCGTTCAACGCTTAGCTGTGTGCTTGGGTCTAGGATCCCTAACTCCTCGCGAGCCTCGAATATACTGACGTTGTGCGCGCAGGAACAAGACCATCTGCGTGGATCTCTCCTATTGGATCGTTCAGTTCGCCGCTAGCTGCCAAAACGGCCCACCGCAGGCAGGCGTCCAGAGCAATCAGAAGCCGCACCTTCGCGGAATATTTCACCGCCTGCGCGCGCTGAAAGCGCTTAATAGCCACGTCATCTTCGTTACAGGTGTAGTAGCTAGCACATAAACCCCGCTCCGTCCCTTCCTCCGTTGCATTGGCTGCGACTCGCTCGGGTTATCTGTCCCATTTTCTTCGCTGCTGAGTCGCTTCCTCTCGCCGTCGAATCCTGTCGGCCGCTCCTCCTTTCCTGTTCGTTATGCCATATGCCCTGATCTTACGCGTTTCAGTGGCCGCCCCTTAAACCGTCGCTCGTTCGTCCCCCCCTCAATTGCCTCCCGACATCTCTCGCGTCAGATGGCGACGTGCCAGCTGTCAAGCGCGCGACGTACCAGCAGCGGAGGGCGGACGATGCCGCCACGTCACACCCTCACTGGCGCCGCGCGGGTCGAGGCAATGCCACTGCCGCAGGTTCCGCTGGAGCCATTGCCACAGGTTCAGCGGCAGCGACTGGTGCAGACTCGGGAGCACAGCCTACTAGCAAGGTAGAAATTTCTCTTTTCTCCAACCACGAGCATCTCTGCTGTTCTCATCTACTCCATCCGCCATCCGCCATGCTGCACATTAGCATACACGCTCACCACCTCCCTTTCCCATTCTCTTCATCATTCCCTCCTCCCCGTCCCTCTCTTCCCCCGCACTCCCCGCGTTCCTCCCCCCAGCCTCCCCGCGCCCCTGAGGGCGCGCTGAAGAGGCGGAGGGGGACGGAGTTTGCGCGCATGGTGGCGGACGCGAAGGCGCTGGGGGCAGCATGGGGCGTGCCGTGCATTGACAGGTGTGGGGGGGAGGGAGTGAGAGTGGGGAGGGAAAGAGAGAGTGGGGGGGTGTGCGTTTTGAGATGGGCATGGTTGGGTAGCAAGCAAGTTACTTGATGTAGCATGGGATGCTGGGGGAAGGATAGGGGCTGCTGTGCATTGACAGGAGGAGGTGTCTCAATAAAACAAGTGGTTGTTGTTGGTGATTGACGCAACACTGCTGCGGCAGGGGGAGTTAGCCGTGCCCTTTCCCACGGCTCCCAAACAGACTGTCATGCTCCCTTCTTTGTGCGTCAGAGCCAGAATGTTAATTTCTCGTCTCCTCCCCTCCTTTAATCTCCTCTCGCCACTCTGTTCCCCTCCTCCCTTCCTCCCCTCCTCCCCTTTCCCCGCCTCCTCTCGTCCTCTCCTCGCCTGCACTCCCACCACCAGTCCCGAGGAGGCAGAGGCTCAGTGCGCGCTTCTCAACGCATTTGGCGTGTGTGTGAGTGCTCATCTCTTCTCTCACCACGCCCTCTCTCCTACTCCCTTCACTTGCTCTCTCTCCTCCCTTCCTCTCACCCTTATGCTTCTTCCCCATGTTCCTGCTTGTTCTCCTCATCCAAGTAAACCGAAAACAAGTAGATGTATAGATAATATTCCTCTGCCCCATCTCTGTGCTCATGCTTCCTCGCTAGTTGCACGCACACCTCCCCACCACACTCACGCCCCTCACCACCTCTCAACCATCCGCCACTCAATCAGGATGTGGTGTGTACGGGGGACTCGGACGCGTTTCTGTTTGGAGCCAAGGCCGTGGTCCGAGACATCTGCCTGCACAAAGGTGCGCATGGGGAGAGTGTGTTGTTAGAATGGGTTGCGAAGGGGTGCATGGGCGAAATGAGCAGCCAATGCGGTGGTTCGGGCGCTGTGGGAGAGTTTGGCAGGGATGGAATGGAAGGGCGTGGCTACAGTGCAAGCACCTTGTATCCTCCTCCTCCTCCTCCTCCTCCTCCTCCTCCTCCTCCTCCTCCTCCTCCTCCTCCTCCTCCTCCTCCTCCTCCTCCTCCTCCTCCTCCTCCTCCTCCTCCTCCTGCTCCTCCTCCTCCTCCTCCTCCTCCTCCTCCTCCTCCTCCTCCTCCTCCTCCTCCTCCTCCTCCTCCTCCTCCTCCTCCTCCTCCTCCTCCTCCTCCTCCTCTCCTTTTGCACCTAAGCCTTCCCCCTCTCCACGTGCTCGCTGTTCTCCCTGCCGCGCTGATACCAGGTGCCAACTGGGCTGTGCTATACACTGCAGCGGACATCGCAGCTTCACTCAGCCTCGGCCGAAACTCACTCGTGAGAGCCCTCATGTGCCATGCCATGCCTGCCTTATGATGCCATATGATGCCATGTTGTACCATGACTCGAGCTTCCACTCCACTCTAATCCCCCTGTCTCACGCTCAGCCCATTCTCTCATTCGTTCTGTGCTGTGCTGTGCTCTCCTGCCGTGTTGTTATTCAGATCGCCATGGGGCTTTTTCTTGGCTCAGACTACTCACAGGGCGTCTCCTCTGCTCCCACTCTTCGTGCCAGGGTGAGTGCTCTGGTGCCCCCATTCTGTGTGAATCTTAGCTATTGTAGTCAAGCATCCCAGCTCATCATCTCCAGTCCCGTTACATTCTCCAGCCCGCTCCAGTCAAACGAACCCCTCGCATTCCCTCTCTATCACCTCCTCTTCCCCAACTTCACCCACCAGCAAGGAGCGGTGCAGAGGGTGGCAGCACTGGGTGAAGACGGCGTGCTAGCAGCGATAAGAGAAAGAGGCCTGGCTGCCATTGCTGCTCCCAAAGCTCGCAGGAGAGCGGGACCCGGCACAGGGGCGCAAGGGAAGAAAGGACAGCAGAGGCGGAAAGGAGTTGGAGGAGGGGAAGGGAGAGGCAGGGGAGATGTAACAGAATCGAGAGAGAGCGGTATGAGTGGTTGTGTTGGTGTTGGTACAGGGGGTGGCAGTGGGGCAGAGGGGAATCCGTCAGCAGGAGAAGGAGGGCATGAGCAAGGCGCGAGAGAGATGGAGGACGGGGGGGAAGAGCAGGCAAGGGAGGATGCTGCGAGGGTGATAGAGGCGTTTCTGAATCCTCCATGTCACGATGCTGCATCGGATGCTGTCAAAAGGTAAGGACACGCATGGCTGTGTTGCGTTGATGTATATGGAAACCGGGATGTGATGCAATGTAACGTATGCTGAAGTGGCAGCAGCATGTGGTATTCAAGTGGAATATGATCAGATGAGGTATCCGAGCGCTCGCAGCTATTGAGCTAGCGTGCTCCCTGCTGCTATTTCCTGCCACCGTTATCTACGTTCCCCTCTTTTACCCCATCGTGCGTGTTCCAGTGCGTTACAGAAGCACTGCAGCCCTTCATGTGTTGACATCGTCGCCTTCTGTGACAGGCACATGGCATGGCCTGCTGACGTCACAGGTGCGTGTGCCATGGGACGTTGACTGCCTACCACGTGTCCTCAAGTGAAGCTGCAATTCCTTTTCCCTTCCCATCGCCTTTTGCTAATTTCTCCTTTCCTTTCCCTTCTCCACCACCACCATACCCAGTATGGTACATTGGTACCACACTAGGCAAAATAGAACCCAATCCTTCCCTTCTTCTTCCCCTTCCATGCTCCTACTACCCCCACAGCCCGCCCCCTGTGAACCCATCCCCACGTTACCCACCACGGTACATTGGGTTCACAATAAGAGAATGAATGCCATCCTTTCCCTTTTTCTCCCCCTGCCACGCTCCAACCGCCCTTGCCCCCTGTCCCCACCACACCCAGCACGGTACATTGGGTCAAAGCTAGCAGAACGAGACCTCAGGCGCTTGCTGCTGGTGCGGCAGGCAGCGGAGATCTGTGTGACACCAGGGAAGGAAGCTTCCAGGAAAGCGGATGAAGTAGGGGGGATGCTGGATGGAGTGAGGTACAGGGTGGGCGGCATAGTGAAGGAGCGGTGGGTGGCTGGGCATAGAATGTTTGAGGTTTCATGGACTGGGCAGCCTGAAGTTGAAAACTCGGTTGTTCGGGCAGAACTGCTCACGAGGTAAGTGGTTGGTGTTGGAATTGTCGTCAGGAGTCTCCTTTGTCTTGTCTTGAAGAGATGTCCTTGTTTCCGGATATAATAAACGTTGTTGTTGCGCTGGCAGGGTTCATCCGGAAATGGTGCAAGCATATGAATCAGAGAAGGAAGCAGGAAGGAATAAGGGCCGAGGGAAACAGCAGAGGAAGGCAACGGAGACGAGGGGAACGAAGGAGAAGGAAACGACGGAGATGAGTGAGTTCATGACTGACTTGGGAGAGGCACCTGGTAATGATGTATGTGGCGGATATACAGAGTGGGAGGATGAGACGGAGTACCAGCGGTCTCAAGGTGTGGCAGGGCAACCACTCCATACAGATAATTCAGTGACAGAGCGGTCACATACATTGCTGTTCTCAGTAACGACTGACAGCAGCAGCGGTGAGAGAAGCGGTGCAGATGCGGGCACATCTGCTGATTTGAAGGGAGACAGGGAGCCATCCAGCAGATCGGAACCCAGCCCCTATGATCAGTTGTACTTGCCCTCCGAGTTCAGGCAGACTGAAAGCGACCAGGCTGCTCTATCCTCTGCACAGAATCATGAGATACAAGCAAGGGGAGCGGTGCATCAGATGAAGAAGATTGTTCAGAGCGCGAGCCATGAGGAGGATGTGGTTGAAGCGGGAAGGCAGGAAGTGGGAGTGCTGAAGCGCTGCCAGAAACCAGATGCTAAACCTGTGGAGAGCAGAAGCAGGGGAGCAGTGAAAAGCAATGAGAATGGGCTGCTGTGGGTTTGGCAGCAGGAGGACTACCCGCCCAAGGAGCAGCAGAAGGGAAAGCGAAGCAGGGTGCAGGACCGTAGTGCAGTACAAAATGCTCAGCAACGGAGAGGGGGTCCATTTATTGACTTGACAAACATGACCACCCTGCGAAATGACAAACAGGATTCAACGACCGCAGCTGAGTCAGTTGGGATAAGCAATGGCGGAAAGGCTGTGAGTGACTGCATTGACTTGATTCACCTGGGTAACGGTGACAGCCCTGGTAGAATGCGTGGAAGAGGACAGGCAGGAAGAGGCAAGCTCGTGAGAAGAGAAAATGTGCATGGAACAGATAGATGGGTGACTGCTGGCAAGCATGAAGTGGTGGACTTGGACACTCCAGAGTCTGTCACGGTGAAGGTGGCTTTGAGGGGAAATGCCATGCTTCAAGAGGCAGGAGGCTGTCTATTGGCTTCTAAACTCGACTTCGCGGGAGCCATTTGGGAGGGAGAAAGTAGTTGCGCTTTGGTGAACTTGATTGATTAGGAAGGCAGCGATGACTAGATTGCTAAGATGACTTATTTCTGTACCTCCTGAACTACAAACACCTTCCTTAAAGATAACCCAGATCGTCGACCGACACTCGTATGTCCACTAGTCGAAAACTAAATATTCCGTCAAATAGCACGAGATTGCAGCGACCGTAATTAGTTTTGCACCAACCGTCGTACTCGATGGGACATCTTACCCTACGTGTTGCGCTAGACGGCTCCGCCCCTTTCACCAGTATTCAAGATGCAGTGGACGCCATCCCAGGCAAAAGCCAACCAACGATCATACAGATCGACCCAGGCACTTACTTCGAACAGGTCCGCAAACCACAAGCAACGAATTTTGCCAGATTTGCAGGATATTGCTGTTATGACGTTTCAAGCGTTATCTAGTGAGTCGCTAAGTTTAACAATGCTTTTGCCCCCCTGGGTGACCGTTCCCGTCAGGTTCTAGTTCCATCGTCCAAGAAATGCATTAGATTCATCGGAGCTGGACCTTCATGGTCAACAATAATCTGTTTCGACGCATTCGACGGGAAGGCTCGACCTCCGCATGCACTGAGCGCTTTAGGCGATCGTACGACTCTTGTATACAACACGTACAATTGTGCGACAGTTCAGGTAAGAGATTGCTGAGTTCAAGCACTCTAGGAATGCCAACATCGAGTCGTAGTTACGCAATCATTGTCCATTTCCCCATGTTCCCAGGTGGAGGCTTCAGGCATTATCATGGTTAACATTGTGATCGTCAACCAATCAAGGCCAGGCTGTGGCGGTCAGTCAGGGCAAAACCAGGCAGTGGCGTTACGCTCGTCGGGGGACGAGGTTCAGCTCCATGGCTGCTGGCTACGAAGTTGGCAAGCGACGCTTTACGCCCATCAAGGGCGGCAGGTGAGCACCCCTCCTAGTCGAGAATGGAATTTGATTATTCCTATCTTGTTGTCAAAGAAACCACGCTTTCTTGAAGTTTCAACCATGTAGAACAAACTGTTGCTAAAAGTAAAAGTGAAATAATATTCACAGGGGGTCTGAATGACACTTGGAACATGAAATTGTGCATGAGCTTGTAAGCAATGGTGCCAAAGCCAGCATCAGAAGGCGTAGGGGTCATCCACATTAACTTCGGAAACCTGCCAGTCAGCATTGTATCCCGTCGTAACCTGTGGAGTGGTCAGCTTTGTAGGTTTCAAAGCATCAACAAATGAGCAAGCATGAACAGGAGTTTGAACAGACCTTAGTGAAGTCCACCTTGGAATCATTAGGCTTGTAGTCGGCTTCCTGTAATTTAAGATGCTGTCAGGAGAGGAATTGGAAATAGCAGAACCGTTATAATAAGAGATGTATTACCATGTGCTTCAGCTTCTTCTTCTTAGAAAACGTAGATGTAGCTTTGGTGACGAAATCCAACTGGAGCAAACCAAAGCGTTCGATTGCTCGTCAAGATTCTCTCTTCAGCAAAGGTAAAGCATTGCTGAAGGGTACTTGCCTGTTTGGGAGTAGCAGCTTTTGCGTCCAAAGCGAAATCCTGCTGTTGTGTAGATATAGCTGGCTGGAGCCTCAACTTCTTCCCCGATAGTTTTTTCTGTAGATCCAGAGTTTGTAAGAGAATGCTCACCCTGAAAATCTCATAGTCACAAGCGTGGACAACCCACCCGTGACTTCAGTGTCTTCGATGAAGTAAGATTCTGTGTTTCAGCTGCTCCATTGGACGCAGGAGTGGAGCCTTGCAACTTCTGTGCACAACCGAGATACTGGATAAGTCAATACTCATAAAGCCATGTCTCAGACGTTCTGCTCATTCCATTTCTACCTTTTCCAGTTGCAGCGCAGCTTGACTTTTGCCTGATTCCACATCCTTAGCCTCCATGGCTTCCTTGGCTTCCCCTGACTTGGCCTGCACTAACTCGGAAAATTGATTAAGACCAAGAGCTGACAACGCATTTCACAGCGTTTAAAAGCCTTACCGTTTCCTCTGTCAAGCTGTCACGTTGTGACTTAAAAGAGGATTCTTGTTCTAGCTTCCTCTTCCTCAAAGAACTGTCAAAGCCCATACGCTGAGTTTTCAGTGCGTTCTCATGATCCAGCTTCATAGATTTAAGGATGCTGTCGTGCTCCAGATCTTTCTTCTTGATGACGTTCTCGTGCTCCATTTGAGTCTTTCTAAGACTGTCCTCATGCTCCATGTTGAGCTTGTTCAGCATGTTCTCGTGTTCCATCTTAAGTTTGCTGATATGACCCTCCGCCTCAACTCTTGTTGTTGCGCATTCCTCTTCCAATCTCATCTCACTCTGTCGCAACTGTCAAAGGTGCGATATGTTGGTTAGCTGGGTCGGTGTAAAGCAAAATGAGCACATCAGTTTGATTTTTGCTGTTTGACTCACCTCCTCAATTTGTTGCTCGTAACTCTCCTTGAGTTGAGCTTCACGGGCCCTGCTTTCCTCCTCAAGTCGCATGGATTTCTTTTCAGCTTTCTCCAGTTTCTCCTGTGCCTGCAGCAAGTCAACATGTAAACTCGGTAATATACTTTTTATTTTCGAAAACTATATCAAGGTTGGTTAGCTACGTTACCTCTGCCAAGCACCGCTCCAGCTCGTCATGCAAATTACGCAGCATGCCTTCATGGTTTTCCTGCTGCTGCTTGCACTTCTTTTCCATCCCTCGAAGCCTTGATTGCAGCTGCGAATGAAACTTTGCCACATAAAATAATGTAAATGCACATGCGAATGCAGCAAGTAAACAAAAGCCTTACCTCTGACTGTCGCAACTCATTGATTTCCTTCAGCTTGTCCATATCAACCCTGTGTACCTCCTGGAGCTCTTGGCACTCTCGATCCTTAGATGTCAACTTGTCTTTGAGCTGCAGCAAGCAGAATTGTTATGACTTTGGGAACTCGCCAAAATGCTCATGCTTAGACAGGTACGCAAGTACACTGACCTCAGTGGATTCACGTGTCATTACTTCCAACTGAATGTCAAGGGCTTCCTCACGTTCTGTCTTGGCCAGCTCAATCCTCCCTTCCAGCTCTTCCGTCAATGATGCAATGGCCTTGACATGGAAACCAGTGTTAGAAGGTTTATATTGGTGCGTTTTGTGAGCACAATAATACTTGTGCTTACCTCAGCATGTTGTTGCTCCATCAACGCTCTTGCAGTCGCCATCTCTTCGCTCTGCTGGAGCTTTAGTCTCGTAATCAAATCCTCTGTAGATTGAAGCTTTGACTCAACCTGCAGAGGATAGCTTTAGATGCTTGGAGTCAGTTCATCAATGCACAGCCAGCTCACCTTATCAACGCACAGCCAGCTCACCTTATCAATAGCAGCCAGGCACTCTTCCTCTTTAAGCCGCAACTTGATTTCAGTCTCTTTCACAAACGAGGCGAATGATGCACGATGGGTCTCTTCAAGCTCCGACACCTATTAAGACTGCTGTAAGCCGATCTGCCTCAGATTTTGGCATTGTCCAGGCAAGTAGAGGCAAGCTTACCTGTGACTTGTTTTTCTCGAGGAGGGATTTGATCCTGGCTCCATACTTCTCCTTCTCTTCTGCCAGTTGGTTCTGGAGGTTCTTCTTGGCACTCTCAAGTGCATCTTGATCCTGTGACATGGCAATGGATGTAAATTCAACTTGTGGTGACCACTTTATGAGCCGACAAATCTTCCATGTGCACACCTTTTTCCGCTCTTCATCCACACTCCTTGTTGCCTCTGTCTCAAATTCTTTCCGCATCTCCGCCATAGCGAGATTATTGCGCCTTGAAATTTCTTGAAGATGCTTCTGCAGTTCAAGCTGCTTTGATTGCATCTGCCTTTGGTAGTCTCTCTTCAGATCCTTTGCTTGCTTCTCTGCTGACAGCAGCTTCTCCTGACACTGGAATTCCAATACTCTGGTAAGTTTCTTGCAATATTTAAGGAAGAGACACCAAACTCTGTGTACTTACCTCCTTGTAGTCCTTCTCAAGTGTCTCAATTTGTTCCTTCATCTGGCTCAATGCAGCTTCATTCGCCTCAAGGTTCTCTTTCAGTGTCTCGTTCCCAGAGACGAGCTGGGTTTCAGCTTCTGTCTTCGCTGCAACAGCTGCAGATAGCTCCTGATTTTCTGTCGTAAGCATAAATAGTTTTGCTTCCAAGGACTCCTTGGTGCTTTTCAACTCTGTGGTTAAGCACTGCAACTCGGCTTGCAATCCTTCCTGCAAAAGAAAAGGCTTGTGAGATGCGAACTCGAGAGCTTTTGCTATGAACGTCTGCTAGTTTGTTACCTTCTCCTGTGTTGTATTCCTGTCCTTATTTTCCAATGCTTCCAGCTGATTTTGAAGCTCCTCTTTTTCGCTCCCAGCTTCCTTGGCTCTGGCCTCCAAGTCTTGCAATGTTGTCAGGAGCTGACTGATTTTTTCCTTGGACTGACCGTGCTCGGACTCAAGCTGGCACATGGTCTTTTTCCATTTTTCTTCTGCCTCTGTTAAAAACAACACGCGATTGAGTTGTAGCATGATACGAGTGAACGAGACCAGTCCGGCTAAGATCATTTACCTTTTGATTGTTGTTCCATTTGCTGAACCCGGGCTTGCAACTGTTCACACTCCTTGCGTGCTTCATGCAGCTCCTGTTGAAGTTCTTCCTTTTTAATCCTCTCTTCTTGAAGCCTAACATTTGAAGAGCTTAACTGGCTCAGAATGGCATCTGCATTCCGCGTTGACAGTGCGTTCACACTATCAAGTGCACCCAGCTCCGCTGAAAGTCGATCGACATGAGCTTTGAGCTCTTTCACTTCATCATTTCTGTGTTCCAAGGTTGTCTGTAATAACTTTATGGTGGCCTGGTGGCGCGAGATCTCCTTCGACTGCAAGAATACACGACAGTAAGTCTTTGTGTTTATTGAAAAGCAACTGGTTTCCCCAGGAATGCTGCTGTACCAAGGAAGTGTTGGAGAGCTCAAGCTGCTTCATGTCTTCCTTATAGTTTTCCACCTCCACTTGTCTTTGCATAAGTGTTGAAGCAAGCTCTTCGCACTCTTTTTCTTTGACATGATATGCTGCCTGTGATGACTGTGCTTGTTTCACCCAAGTATCTGACACAATAGCGAGTACGATTGTTAGCCATCTGTGAAGAAGACGAAATCGTAACGGTGAGTCTCACCTCTTTCAGAGCTGTACTTTTGTGCTTCTCGCTTCTTGAGTTCAAGAGAGGACTTTAATTCCGCTTCCAGCCTTTTTAAACGCATGCATTCCTTACGGCCTGCATCAACGGCGTTTTTAGTTTGACAAAATCTCGCACGAAGGTAAGCAATAGGGAAAACACATACTCTCGCTGGCGTTAGCGTTCACCAATGCATTTTCGTTTTGTAACCGGACGAGCGCTGTCTTCAGCTCTTCTATCAAGAGATCCTGCTTTCCAAACTTATCATCCAAAAGTCGACGAATTCCTTCCTCTGTAAAGGAAGCCAACGTAAGAAAAAGAAACTGGTAAAAACAAGTCTTTTGAGAGCAACGATGAGCGGGATCGTTACCTTGTACTAGCTGTCTCTCGATCTGCTTATATACGTCACAGACTTGTTCATACTTGGTGAAACTTTGAGTGTGGGTAGCGTGTGTTTCAACACTTGCTGCACTCATCAATCTTCGCTTCTTCGAGATGGCACTTGGTGATGCGGGAACCACATCCTGAGAGAAAAAAATGAGTTTTACTGAAAGCATTTGAGTACTCGATCTTGGAATTGTCGACCGACCTGAGACCGGTATTCGACGATCTCGTCTCGAGCCATCCGTTTCGGTGGATGGTTTGTTACGAAAAGTTTGTGTGAAAATGACGGTATTCCCTTCGATCTGGTTTTTATGACGAACCAGGAGCAACTCACAAATGTGCCACCGCGTCACATGTGTCGCGACGAGGAAAAGATTGGGGGTCGGACTCGCTAAACTCACTCGCGATGTTAAAGCTGAAGTAAACATAAATAAAAAGTCCATAAATTTTACAATCAACTCTGGATTTTTTTCTGTTTCTTGGCCCCTTTCTTGCATGTTTTTGCAGTACTTCTCCAGAAGTATTATCGAAGGAAACGTGGATTTTGTTTTTGGAGGGCCAAATGTCAAAGCAGTTTTCTTTAAATGTTCAATTCTAGCCAAGGCTCAAGGCACATTCACAGCTCACTACCGAGACCTCGACACTTATCCACGAGACACTGGCGCTTTTGTGTTTCAGTGTTGCGCTTTTGATGGTGAGTGTGTTCTTACTTTGCCATGATTAAGTCTGGTTGATAATGTACTGTATCATGTTTTCCAAATAATGATTTCAGGCATGTCAAGTACAACGGGTCCTTGTTACCTTGGCCGCCCCTGGCGCCCGGATGCACGGGTCATCCTATCGCATTGCTATATTGGTCAGTGTGTGCCTCGGCGTGGTTGGGACCGCTGGGACGGTTCCACTGACATTAACAGGCCGACGTTCTGGGAGTTCAGATGTGTGGGGCCTGGTTCAATCGTAAGTACCATTCATGATCAACAGAATCATGAGCTTTTGGTGAGACCCCCATAACCTGTGCTTGACCATAAGCGTCCCTGTTGTGATGGCCTTGTTGTTGCAGAATGCTTCTTCCGCCACCAATCAACCTTCAGACCAAGAGAGGCGTACAATGCATAAAGATCCTCCCTCAGAATCACCGCGATTCATCGGCCAAGAGCCTTCAGAAGCTGAGGTTGCCCCATTTTTAGACTGCCGAACTTTTTTTGCAATGAATGAAACGGACTGCCCAGGGACGACCTTTCCTGGGCCAGCGCCACCGTGCTCTGTTAATGAAGACGGCCCACTCGGAACCCCTCGTCCTCCAATTGAAGGTATAGTGTCTGTCTAAGGCCGTCAATGTGAGGCGTTCATCCGCACATCCCTTCTGTCGCAGAGCATCACCATGGTGTCTAACCCAATGCTCACTCATTTTGCTGTCTCCAGAAATTACTCCTGCCACGACCAAAGAAACCACAAGAATGATTCTTGTGGGTGCACGGGCGCCAGAAGCAATTACCTCAGCTCTTGACCGTGTGTATGGTACAGTAAAGTGGTTCACGAAGGTGCAGGAGGCCATTGATGCAGTGGAGTCTGGAGGGAAGCACACCACTGTGATTGCAGTCCAGCCAGGCACATACTTTGAGCAGGTGGGCGGGAGGGACAGTATTCGTATGTGCACGGATTGCTGCACTTTTCTGTTTTCCCCTTGTGCATGATTAACCAATGCTCAAACCTATAACCAATTTTGCTCGCCAGGTACGAGTCCCCTGCAATAAGACGCACATTCTGCTGCGGGCGGCATCAGTTGAAGAAGTGAGCACTGGTGGTGGGGAGGTCCGGATAGTCTTTGACGCACATGCAGGGAAACCTAAGCACAGCAGCGGCGGCGTCAGCGGCAGTGGCAGTATCAAAGGGAAAGATGCCAGTGCTGCTGACAGCTACACGACATATACTTCTGCAACTTTTGCGGTGAGAAGAAAGCGAATATTATCCATTCCCCGTACAACCCGCCTTTCTCATACCACCCTTTTTGTTGCTCGCCTTCTACTACGCATGTATTTCTCCTCGGTACTGTCCGTCATTCTTGCTCTCCTACCCTTCTCCTCCCCTGACAGGTGGAGGCGAGCCATTTCACAGCAGAGGGGATAGTGTTTGAGAACGCAGCAGGACCGCAGTGTGGGGGCGCATCAGGGCAGCACCAGGCGGTGGCAGTGCGGGTGACAGCGGAGCGAGCAGCGTTCCACCGGTGCAGCTTCCTGGGGTGGCAGGATACGCTCTACTTGCACCGTGGCAGCGCGTGGTTCAGGGATTGCCGAGTGGAGGGATCTGTGGACTTTATCTTTGGAGGACCCAAGGTGAGGAGAACTGGAGTGTCTGCTTTTCCCTTGCCTGCTGTTGCCACCAGTTTTCTTCCTGCTCTCAGTTTCCTTCCCGTTTCCTGCTGATGGAGACTATAGACGCCTCCCAAGCCCATGCATTCTGTGATTTTATTTCCTGTGATCCAGTGTTTCTTTTTTCCTGCCCGCCGCTTGTGTGGTCAGGCACGAGGCTACTGGAAGGGGTGTGAGGTGGCAGTAAGGGGCAGGGGGTGGATGACAGCTCACCGCAGGGATCTCACCCAGTGGCCTGACGACACCAATGGTGCATTCGTCTTCGATGCATGCTCCATTCAAGGTACTCAATGCCTCCTCCAGTTCCTCCTCCAAGGGTTTATGGCTCTCAACCCATCGCCTGGAACGAGTGTGTTCTTCACATTACCAAGCCCTTTGGACCATCGATACCCATTCTTTTTGCTGCCTTGCCCTCCTGTTTCCCCCTTGCAATTTTTCCAGCGGCAGATGCATCAGTGCCTGACAGCTGTGCGCTGCTGGGACGGCCATGGGGTCCAGATGCGCGTGTGCTGCTGCATGGGTGCAACATAGGAGCCGTGGTGAAGGCAGAGGGGTGGGGCACATGGAACTCTGCGACTGATGTTTCTCGCCCTAGGTTCCTCGAGTGGGAGTGCACCGGACCCCGTGCTTCATTGGCTCATGTACGACAACAGTCTATGCTTCAATCTTGCTATCACAGCCCAGCCCACACACATAACAACCGTTTGGCACTTACAACATGTACAGTACTTCATTCTCATTCACATTTATTGCATGTTCTACCGTACTGTACCTGTGTTGCCAGAGAATCATAGGGCGGCAGGCAACACAAGAAGAGGTGGACAAGATGGTATCTGAGAGTGTTTTCTTCCAAGACTTGCCAGGTTTCCCTGCTTCCACACCATTACCTTGATTCACGTTACTGTTTTCTACTACCGTATATAGCTGCACAGGATTGAATGATGTGGTAGTCATTCATGTGTGGTTCATGTGAGCCTTTCCCTCTTCTGTTCATGGCACCATACCATACCATGCATTGCATGCAGTAAACAAATGGACCAACCCGACAAGCTATACCAGTAATAGCTACTATGCAACTTATATACAGCTAGCAGTACCTCAATCGTGGAATACCCAAGCCAAGTTACTACCCGTGCCTTCAGATAAATCACCTATCAACCCCACAAATTACCGTACAGCACATCCTTGAAAGATCTTCCAGCAAAAGTTGAGTGCACCTTTTGACCCCCAGCCCAGGGTCACCCATGGTACAACCCTCTCACTCTGCCCTGAATTGTCCTCCTCTCCTCCTGAGACACATCGGAGAAGGCATGTGATGGCAGGTGCTCCAGTGGTGGGCGGCAGTGCTGCGGCCGGCTGTCTGCCAGATCATATGTGGCGCCGCGTATGGCCTCCCAGCGCGGGCCGCATGGCCGCTTCGTGGTAACCATCTCATATGCTGTCCGCAGCTGTAGGGAAGCAGGCAGAGGAGAGTGTGGGGTATAAGGGTCAGGGTTTGAGGACTGGGAGGGGTGGACTGGACGGGGATCAAGCCTTGACAAACTTGAACTGAAGAGTGTACAAAGGGAAGTTGAACAGTGTAGGGCAGTCAGAGTGAGTCAATACAGCAGCAGAGCGACTCACGTCCATGTCACGGAACCAGAAGAGGAAGGCGATGGCAGCAGCAGGCGCGCGGCCGAGGCCAGCAGTGCAGTGCACGAGCACAGTGCGTCCCCCGGACACATGGTGCTCTATCACCGCCACCATTCCTGGCAGCTGGTGCCTCAGCGAGTGAGGGTCGAAGTCCACCGCCTGGTGGGGACATTGATGCACACAGGGCCAGGTGGGAACAGAGGGCGAGGGGAGGTAAGGAAGAGAAAATGGATTTTAATGGCACACGCTAGCAAGGAGAATGGGGGCAAGCCGCATGAGATAACAATTCCCCAAAAATCACCCAACTGGTCAGGAAGGAATGAGCATGGGAGTCGTACGGGTCGGCGGTAGTGCCTGAGCCCCAGCTGGCGGCAGTGGTGCGTGATGCGGTGGATGTCGACGCCCCAGTACGCGATGTCGTGGTCCTGCTGCAGGTTCAGCACCACCGCCACCTCCTCCTCGCGCTGCAGCCGCTCTATGTCGTCCGGACTCTGCGGCTGAGAGCCCACCAGCAGATGCTGCGCGATCCGCGTATAGTACATGCCTGCACCACGTTGTGAGTGAGTTTTAGCGTGCTGAAGTCCAGTCTAGACATACGAATCTAGAAATATGCGCGTGTTGCGGGTACTCGCATGAGAAGGTCTTGTGCTGCTGGAATTGGCAAGCGAAAAGCATTATCTCAGTTGAAGCAATAGGTTACGAAGTCATTCAAAGTACGTGAGCTTACCAAGGTGATGGTGATACTCGTAAGGGTTAGCCATGGCTCGTTTCATCCGCATGTTGTATTCCGACGACGAGATTACAATCCCTGTTCTGTCCGAGTCTGACGTGTCCCCACCACCATTCAGCATGCCAGTAGCGGCGTCTCCGACGCTCAGACGGCTTTCAAAGCACGGGCTCTGCAGGCTTAGGCTTCCTTCTAGAGTCGCAACAGTGGAGTTGTCTGCAACAAGACCGGGTGCAGAAGGAGCAGCAGATGCTGAGATTTGCGGGCCATGGGGCCTGGCAGTACGGTGGCTTGCGGTGTTTGAAGGTGGAGTAGACAGGGCTGCTAGATTCGCGGCGAACAATGAGGTGGTGCTGCTCAGCGCAATGCACGGAGACGGGAACATGCCGGAAATCAGGACGGGGACGGGAAGAACAATTTTGTCGAGACTGCCTAGCGGTGCGTATTTCAAATGTAGGACTGGAAATGACTGACTGGGGAATCTCGTCGAGCTATACGATGACCATGAAAACGAGACGAAGTTTCCAGAATCAGGTGTGCCAGCACGTCGGTCGCGGCGGATCAACAGCAGTTTCCCCCGTGATTCTTAGTGCAACAATGTAGCCGCTCGGCCTCCCTCCACTACATACAAGTTGTCAGTCCCTTGCCTACTCTACCCTCCAGGAAGTAGAGAAAGCCGAAGCAAAGTAATGCGGGAGTGGCGACACAATCCGCCGCAAACGGTGCAATCTCCGACGTGCTATGGCGTGTGTGGAAATGGCTGCCTGTTTTTATAAGGCGAGGCTGCTGTGTTGGGCCGGAATGTGCCATGCTGTGCTCGTGCTGGTACACTCCTTGCTTGCGGGAGAAGAGAAGGGAGGCTTGCTGGAGAGACTCGTCTCGTGCCATGCAGTGTAGCAATTCCCAATCCCAGAGTCGTCAAGCACGAGGATCATATTCCACCCTGAAAATCGCATGGCTGAGGTTTGCATGGCCGAGATTGGTTCTAGATGGAAGCGCGAGGGCTGAAAATCAACGGTAGCCACATATGGTGGGCGACGATGACGTGCTGCGAAGCGGTACGGGAGACGGCTTGGAGTTCGCGAAATGAGCAACGAAAGGCGACGGATGCAGTGCTGGCACATCCGTCCCATGCAGCCCCTATGGGCCACCGCCACCGCGGATCCAATGAGTCACCTCCACGCGTGAGTAGCGGCGGTCCAGCAAAAGATCGAGGAGCGCCACCTCATAGTAACCCGCAGCTTGCGTCATCCTGCTGATTCCTCCAAGGTCGAGATGCGATACCACAGTGTTACAATCACTGTGATGGACAATAGAATCACAAATTACGAGCATATAGCTTTGTTTTTGTTGTGTATTCTGTGTATTGTTCGTAACCTCAATATTTTGTAACGAGGCTGCTCCAACAGGGATTTCAACTGTGCATTTGTTTTCGAGATTGTCCCTCGTCAAGGATTCCATTACATACTCCCAACGGCACCCCATGATCGCCACGATCTGCGGGCAATCATGAGGGCCGATGATGCAAACGATCTGCACACCATTTCAGCTCGTCACCATGGTCTATGGCGTCCCTCTCGCAACCAGTCTAAGCCTATCGGGGGCTCAAATCCTGCATCGCATTCGCATCAGAGAACTCGACTGACGTCAGTACGGCAGGATATTTTCGGCGCTGCGTCATGGAGTCCATCGCGGCGATTGCTGTGCATGGGCCGCGCGAGAGGCATCCTGCTTGCTGTCACGGCTTTAGCTGCGCTGTTCGTATTGTGGCATTCGCACGTGGTGCCACGGTTATTCAGCCAAAAGGTAACTTACTCTCCTCAGCAATGTGTTCAGTGATACTTACTCGATACTAATCTATTCCCGTCCGGTATATCGTCGTTACCGTCACGATCTGTCCGTATCTGCCCCAACTACCCACCGTTTGCATCACATTTCCCTTTCCATGTTATGCTCGCGCTGTGTCCAGGCGTCCCATTTCCGAAGAATGTCAGCCACTCCACCCGCGACCAGCCTGCTTCTAAACCCTCCATTTGTCAGCGCGAATAACAAACCACCTGCCAATCCAACTCCAACCACTCTCACTCACTCCTCCAAATTCTCCTCCCCGTCCACCAACTTCTCCCCCTCTCCCTCACTCACTCCTCAATCCGCTTCCTCCGAAACCACAACAACTCTCCCACCATCCCGTCTCTCCCCTCTCCATACCCCTCACCTCACGCCGACCTCGGGCTGCAGCTGCTACCGCGTGCGCAACGTGTACTGCTGCAAGCAGGCCCTCTGCGTCTGCCACTCGCTCTGCTTCAACGGCTCCGCGCTCCTCTCCGCCCCCACCCCTCAGCCAACCTCAGGCAGAAACAGACAGAATCCCGGATCTCTTCCACCCCCCTGCCTTCCGCCTCAGTACACCCTGAACCAGATACAGCCTTCCCCTGACGGAGCGAGCAGCAGCAGCAGTGGGATTACAGACGTGCTGTCTCCCATCCCCTGCAGTCGCAAGGCAGAGTTCGCTGCCTATCTCAACATGGCTCTTACCGAAGCCCCCATCAGAGGAGGCCTGCACGCTGCCAGTGAGGACACGTGGCGCAAGTGGGTTGGTCCGGGGGGAGGGAACAGGGACAAGGGAGGGTCGGCAGAGTGGCGGGATGGCAGCACGCTGCTGATACCTCTGGACGACCCCACCACCAATGTGGCTCACTTCATTGGTGCGTGCGCCATGCCACACCATCGCTTCCGGTTGATCCAATCACCATTGTTACTCTTTTCTTTGGCAGACTGTTGGGATGGGTTGGGTTCTTGTGCCTGTGCAACCCGTGCTGAATTTTCTGTCTTTTAGGCTCTGTTGTTTGCTGCTGCTCTCAAATATGTTTGTGCTTGCTAATGGGCATTTCTGCGTGAACCACCTCAATCTGGCTCCCTCCTTGCACATATGTGTGTGTGTGTGCATGTGTGCCTCCTTGGGCAATAATGGTGGTGTGTGTGTGGGAATGTGTGCACACATATGCGGTCATGGGCGTGTTTGTGTCTGCGTGTGTGCGCGTGCGGGGGAGGGGGGCTGTTGGGAGGATGGATGGGGGAGGGTCAGGGGGGGGTGTGAATGATGTGAGCGGCAGGGAAGGTGGCTCAGATACTGCTAGTCAACAATGCATCAACGCCCACGGCTCTCCCCGTCATCACACGATTCCTCCTGCCACGCACCCCTGCTGCTGCCTCCAGGTGTCTGCCTGCTGTGCTTTCCCCACGTCTCCCTTATCCAACGTTTTTCGTTTCTGCACAGCCTTTTCTGGCGCGTGTAGGAACTTTCTGAATTTTCCTTTCGTGTGCATCATGCACAATCCACATCGTTCTCATCTGATTCACATCTTACTCTGGTGGGCCCTCTTTGCCTCCCTCTGAACCTCCCTGTCCTCCTGTTCTCCCCGGTTGATATTCCTGACACGTTTATCCCTGTCTCTCAACCAGGATGAGGCAGCACGGGCAGCGGGGGTGGATCCCCTCCGTGCTGCACATGCTGCTGCGCATCGCCCTCGAGCCCCTCCTCAACCACACTGCTTCCTCCCATCACATCCCGTCGCTCCCACGAAGCCCTCAATCTCTAGCCGATGCGATCTCGCCTGAAGTGTTAGTGGGAGCGTCCACTGGTGCAGCAGCAAGCACTGGTGCCAGCAGGGGTGGTTTGGAGGTGCTAGCAGGGGCGGTGGAGTTTGAGTCAGCATTCAGCAGGGCATCTGATGCACATCCCATGTGCTTCCATCGCCTTGTGCTGCCAGGCTACCTCAAGGTGCCCCTGCCTGCTCTCTTTCTGCCCTCTGCTTCGACTGCCTGAATGCCTGGCCTCAGCCATTTTCTGCTGCGTGTCTCACTCTCTTTCTTCTCCCTCCAGGGTTGCTTTCCTTCGTCCTGACATGATACAGGAGTTGTCTTCCATTTGTTTGCTTTCTTCCATTGGATGGCCTGAGCTCGCCACATTGCTGAAACACAATTCGCCTCGACATCCTCTCGGCCTTTTTGAACCTCTATGCAGGCAATCACCTTCCCAGGGGGCATGGAGCAGGCGGACATGTTTAAGCACCGCCTCAAGGAGGCCTTCCCCCACCCCGACCCCGACCCCTTCCGCGCTCTGGCGTCTCCAGAAAATGCCTCTGTGGGAGATGCGTCTGCTGGGAGCAGTTCAGCTGATGGTACCACTGTTCGCCTGCTGTACATCACTCGCAATGCATCGCTCACACGCGGCCGCCGTGTCATGAGTGCGGAAAGCTCCAGCGCTCTGCTCAAGCTGTTTCACCAGCTCAACTTCCAGGTACGTGCCCACTCCACCGCAATGTGACTCTGGCCGTCCTGCTGCTTTAGTGCCCAGTAGTATTGTTGTGCCCTTCCCCTTCACTTTCCACTTACTCCCCCATACCGAATTCCACTCATACCCCTGTCTTTCAATTGATCCTATCCCCCATCTTGACATTCCCCATTCTCCAATCACCCCCAACACATCAGTCTTCCATATATCGCGGTCCTCCCATTACCCTGTCCCACAACTTCCCCTTCCTGCAACCCTGTATGCCTGCCCACCAGGTAGCCCAAGTGGAGTTCACGCCGCTCACCTTTGCTCACCAGCTAGCTCTGGTACAGGCAGCAGACATCATAGTCTCCCTGCATGGCGCAGGCCTCACCAACCCCGCCTCGTTCGCTCGCTCCGACTCCGTTCTCCTGGAAATTTCCCCCTACGGAGTCTTCTACAATCTGTACTATTTCATGGCGGTGAATGCCGGGGTGACCTACATGCTGCACCAGTGCACAGCCGGACCTGCCCCCATGCCGGCTAAAGATGCGGAATTTCAAGGCGTAGGTCCGTTTGCGTGTGATCATGACCCGGCATGCAAGCAGTACCGGACTCATGACCGCCGGGTGAATCTTGGGAAGAAAGATATTGAAGAATTGGGGAACCTGCTTTCAGTGGCTCGGAGACTGGTTTTGGATGTGAGGAAAAAGGGGAGTCGCGAAGGAGGAAGGAGGCTGCGGAGGTCGTTTGGGAAGCTGTGTGTGTCAAGGAAGAGGAATAAGGATTGTAGGATGAACTTGCTAAGGTCTCCGGTTGCAGATCCAACGTATGAATGTGTTGTTTCGATGGAATGTCCTTATGTTTCCAAATGATATGCATCAACAGGTGATGAATAACTGAATTCAGATTCTAGTGACATCTTGCAAGAAAGTTCATGACAGGGGTAATAGTAAAAACTGGATGGAACATTATGGAAAGAGGCAATACATAGGGTGAAAACATGGAACGTTATGTACAAATGAATACAAACGCAAATTGCAGTGCCTCAAAACTGTCTTGAAAGAAACCTGCACCCACATGAACACGACAGAGGATTTAGACAGTGTTCGCACGTTCAAATTTTGACAAGGTGTGCAATGTCGAGAATCGCTGGGGAGGGATCAGTTACTGGCTTGGTGGCTCGTAAGAGCCGAGTAAGCAAAGTGGAATCAGCTTCGATCATAGGGGAAAATGTCCTCATTTCCCTCCACCAACATACTCGTCAGACGAATGACATCAAAACTAAGAGGGCCAGAAAGACGACGCGGATGGTAATGAAAAAGATACTAGGAGGCGGACAAGTCTCATCGGATAAATCCCTTGATGGTCCACATACGCAGGCTGTAAGCCTAGCATTCGGACTCTTCCTATCATACAAGAATTTCGTCATCTGAGGCACTAATCCGACTCAAGAAAGGATCGGAAAAACATGAACAGGAGCATAATCGCTGCATCAGGGCTAAAAAGCTCTTCGAGTCAACAGTAAATTTCTGCGTTGGATGTATTCTGACGCATCATGTGCAGGAACGAAAATGCAGGAGAATCACCTCAGTCAGAATGCACTCAGTGCAGATTTTAGGAAAGAGCAAGTGAAGGACCGGGATCAGGATAAAAGTCTGGCGTACCGACTCTTCCTGTCTAAGGCACTAATCCGAAGAAAAGTAGGCAAAACGTAAATAGAAGAAGTGTCGCTGCATCAGGGTTAAAAAGCTCTAGAGATATATCAACAGTATATTTCTGCGTTGGATATTATTTTCTTCATGTGCAGCAACGAAAATAAAAATGAAATCACCTCAGCCCAAATGAAATGGTCAGTGCGACGTCGAGAGAAGAGCAGGGGAAGGAACGGGATCAGGTACTGGCTTGGTGGCCCATTAATGGGCCAAAGTAGCACAGTTGAATCAGCTTCGATCATGGGGGAAAATGTCATCAATTCCCGTTCCCAACAATCACCTCAAATCCTACTCGCGAAAAAACGGACGCCTTTGTCAGGCATGCATTAGGTCACTGATGACTTACATTCGGAACCGAGGAGGCTCACTCCACTCCAAGCGCTATGCCAAGTGCGTCACATAGCTGCCGATGACGTTCATCAAGTTCGGAAGCCCCATCAAAACGCGCGTGGACTACATCACAATGATAGAAACGTGGGATGTTGGAGTACAGGTACTTATGCCTTGCGTTGGCCTTTATACCTAAGGGTTGGGTTGGCGTTGTAGGAGACAGCCATTCTCCAACCGAGTTAGGCCAAGGGAGAATTGGATTGGATTGCTTCTTGGAGGCAGTTTTGGGCTTTGCAATGAGCCCTCCCAGTTCTGCAACGACTCTTTGATCTGCTGAAAATAAGATACTGAATACGTTGCGGGTTCTGTTTTGCAAAAAGCCTCCTTTTGACGGGGATTGGTCAGTGAGCTTCCTGGGAGGTTCAACTGACATAGCAACCAGCTGGTCACCCGTCTAGCTACAAGCGAAGTCGTGTTCGCCAAAACAAAATGTTGCGAAATCCATGCGAGTTTACAGCACTGGTTTCCAGCCCGTTAGAGCGTCGGTGCTTCGATATAAGTAGGTACGCAACTCACTAGTCCCCATTCTTAGCCATTTACTCCTGTCCACCAGCTTTTTTCCAAGCCTTTCGCCAGTCGGCCTCCTAATCTATCAATCCACATGCAGTCCAAGGACGAACCGCAGCTGTCGGATCTCCTCCTCCCGTCATCGCTACCATTCAAGCGCGTGCAGCTGGAGGAGAAGTACCCGCGCGGGTCGCAGGTGCGCGGCGGGCGGCACTGGAAGCACCTGAAGCAGATCCTGCAGCCGCACAACCTGAGCGACCTGCCGCCCGACGAAGCCAATTGTGCGTTGCTCTTCGCCTCTACCTTGGGATTGCCGCGCTGCGCTTCTGCTAGTTGTTGCCCTAATCAACGCCGGCTTGGATTTTCATGAAATCTCCGATTCTCACGCCACCTCTCCGTGAGCCGTGGCCCCTCCGCGTCCGCTGTTCCCCGGTTCCCGGGCCTCTCCCGCTTTGACCTAAGGCCTCTCCAATTTAGATAATCAGGTCTTTCTGAGATCATTCACGTTCCTCCCCGCCCCCTCCTCATTCAAATTCCCTGCTTCTCCCTGTTTCCTTCCCCCTCCCCCCTCCCCCATCTCCTCCTCTCCCCGTTTCCCCCTTCCCTCCCGTGCGCGCGCAGACGTCACGATCGAGGCGCCGCCATCAATGTACCCCGCTAAGAAGTACTGCGATATAACGGGGCTCGAGGCGCCCTACACGGACCCGCACAGCAAGCTGCGCTACGCCAACCCCGCCGCCTTCGCCATCGCGCGCTCGCTCCCCCACCCGCACGCGCAGGCCTTCCTCGCGCTCAGAGGCGCGCAGACCATCGTCAAGTGACTGTCGGGGGCTCGTTTTAGGGTTTCCTCAGCCGGCCGTCAGCTTCTGCCGGTATTTTAAGCCACTCACAGTCACTAACAGTCGCTCACAGTCGCCCACAGTCGCTCCGTCGCTCAATCGCTCACATTCTCTCAAAGTCGATCACAATCGCTCGCGATCACCCTCTGTCATTGAAACAGCTGCCAGCAACAGTCTCAACCTTGCGATGGCGCTGTGTCTGCACCACCAACCTCTCTTGCCATCGCCAGCACCATCGCCACTGGCAGCGACAGCAATGCCGCTACAAGCCACGGCATGGCGGTCCAGACAAGCACAGACACTGTCGCAACCTTCTAGGCGGCCCATGCTCGCACTTCCGCCAGCCTGCTCAAGAAGGTCGCAAGGCAGCTTCGATTCAGCACTGCACTTGCCTCTCAAGCTTCCTTACCAGGCCTCTTGCCGGAGTGCGCTCTTTGGTCTCTCTCCGTTGGTCCCACACAGGCCGACTGAGCGATTCGCTGGGTCTCTCGGGCACTCTCCCTGCCACAGCCTCGCATCTCCCTGCCGCCGCTACACTGCTGCGCGCTGGCGTGGCCTTGCTGCTCGAGCGGGTGGTGTTGCTACAAGCGGAGGAGGAGACAGCGTAGGAGATGTGACTCTAACGGATGTGATAGAGTCGGGTGTGGGTGGGATGGAAGGAGAGCGGAGGAGGGACGGGGTGGGGTATGGTGAGGACAGGGTTGGGAGAGGGGGGGTGGGGACGGGGTCTGGTGAGAACAGGTTTGGGAACGGAAGCAGGGTGGGAATGGAATCTGACATTCCCAAGGTTGTGTGGGAGCTCGAGCAGGATACCAAAGACCTGCTGGAATGGCCAATCGTGTGCCGCCAAGTGGCGCGATTCGCGGACACAGTAATGGGGTACAGAGAGGCGGAGGAGGGGCGGCTGGCAGTGGGGCGAACGTGGGAGGAGAGCCAGGCGCTGCTGCTGCAGACGGAGGCAGCGCTGCTGCTGCCACGACGGCTGGACTTCAACGGTGCTGTGGACGTGGGAGGGTTGCTCGCACGGCTCCACCGTGCTGCTGCTGCTAGTGATGTTGGTGATGGTATGGCCACGTCTTCTGGCAGTGATAGTGATGTTGACGGCAGTGACAGCGATTCTGGTTCTGCGGACTCTAATGGGAGCACCGCCAGTGCTGCCAGTGCTGCCACAGCTGCACCCCCCCCGGCCATGACCATAACCCCCTCGGAGCTTCTGTCAGTGGCATCTCTCCTGCAATCAGGCATTGATCTAGGGGCGGGCATTGGGCTGGTCCCAGATGAATCTGGCATTCTCTGCTCCTCCTCCTCCTCTTCCTCCTTCTCCACCTCCTCCTCCTCCACCTCCTCCTCCTCCACCTCCTCCTCCTCCTCCTCCTCCTCCTCCTCCTCCTCCTCCTCCTCCTCCTCCTCCTCCTCCTCCTCCTCCTCCTCCTCCCCCCCCCCAACCCCCTCGCATCTCGCCCCTCTCACGGCCCTCCTCTCCTCTGCTGCCACGTGTCCTTATCTCCTCCATCGCATCCGCACCGCCATCAACCCCCGCCTCAAGTCCCTCGCTGACTCAGCAAGCGCTGAGCTGGCAGCCATCCGCGCCGCCAGGCGGGACAACCGGCGCCAGCTGGACGAAGCATTACAGAGAGCAGCGCGACGTGTTGTGGAGGGAGGGGGGATGGATGAGGCTCAGGTGAGTAGGAGGAGAGGGAGGGGGTGCGTGGCAGTGCGAGCAGGGAAGAAGAGTGCTGTAACACCGGGAGGGGTTACCTTAGATGTTAGTAACACCGGCGCTACACTCTTTGTGGAGCCAGTAGAGGTTATCGAGTTGAACAATAACGAAGCAGAGCTGAGTGGGCAGGAGGCGGAGGAGGAGAGGCGGGTGCTGAGGGAAATGGCTGAGCAGGTGGCGGATTGTGCGCCGTTGATTCGAGATCTAGCGGACAGGATCGTTGCACTGGACCTGGCATGTGCCCGTGCAAGGCATGCCCTGTGGATGGATGCCTCTCGTCCTGTCCTCCTTCCACCCACACACCGTCTCTCCCATGGCCATGGGGATAACTTCTCAGGGGTAAATACGCCTGGGGACAGTGATACAGGGAGAAATACCCTTGCAGGGAGAGAATCCTACAAAATCGAATCTTACGTGGTTGAGATTCGGGGGATACAGCACCCAGTTCTGCTGGAGATGCATCTTGACGCCCTCAGTGCTGCTGCTCAGAATAGGACGAGTAAAAGCACAGGTGCAGCAGACACCAACGCAGTAGCAGCAACAGGAGGAGGAGCAGAAGCAGCAGCAGCAGCAGCAGCAGCAGCATCACCCCAGGCGACTCCCCCGGTGCCCATAGACCTGCTGGTGCCAGCCGGCGTGGCAGTGGTGGTCATCTCCGGCCCCAATGCGGGCGGCAAGACCGCCGCCCTCAAGACCCTCGGGATTGCCGCGCTCATGGCCAAGGCAGGGCTTTTCCTGCCCCTGGCGGGGGGTGGTCAAGGGGAGGAGGCGGGCCAGGGCACGGGGGGAAGCGGAGAGGACGGGAAGGAGGCAGGGGAAGTGGAGAGTTGGGGAGCGAGGGGAGGAGGGAGAGGAGGGAGTGGGGGCGAGAGTGGGGGAATAGGAGAAGCGAGCAGAGCAAAGGGGCGAGTGGCGGTGGTGCCATGGTTTGACCGCGTGGTGGCGGACATTGGAGATGAGCAGTCGTTGGAGCAGAGCCTCTCCACCTTCAGCGCCCACATGCGCCAAGTCTCCCGCATCCTCCTCGCCTCCTCGCCTTCTTCCTCTCCTTCCTCGCTCCCCTCGCTCTCCCCGCCCTCCTCGCCCTCCTCGCCCTCCTCGCCCTCCTCTCCGTCTCCTTCTTCCTCCGCCTCCTCCTCCCCTTCCTCCTCGTCTCTCGTACTCCTGGACGAGGCGGGCAGTGGCACGGACCCATCAGAGGGAGCAGCGCTAGCAGCGGCCATTCTAAAGCACCTGGCGGGGTGCAACGGGCTCACTCTCGCCACCACCCACTACGCCGACCTCAAGAAGCTTAAGGTACGGTGGGAAGACAAGGTGTGTCTGTCAGGGTTTGAGACGTCTCAAAGTGGGATACGTCTTTGAGACAGGCTGCAATGGGCTCACACTCTCCACCACTCACTACGCTGACCACAAGAAGCTCAAGGTGGGGAGGGAGGGAGAGTGGGAGGAAGGGAGAGGGGGAGGGAAGAAGGAATGTTTGAGTGCCTGTCTAGTTTTGAGAGCTGTCAGTACTGGCAGGGCGTAATGGGCTCGTTCGCCACCTCTCAACACTGACCTCCAGAAACTCAGGTTACACAAGGGCCTTCCCATGCTCTCTCCTCTGTCTGACCAGTCTTTTAACACCTGCCCTCTTCCCTTCACCCTTCCCATCCTGTCCCTTCCTTCCGTCAGGCGGCCGATTCCCGATTCGAGAACGCCAGTGTGGCGTTCGACCCGGTCTCCCTGCGCCCGTCCTTCCACATCCTCTGGGGTCTCCCCGGCACCTCCCACGCCCTCTCCCTCGCTGCCTCGCGCGGCCTGCCTCCTTCCCTCGTGGCTAGAGCCGCCAGGCTTGCCCGTGCTGCCACTTTGGAGGCAGGAGAAGAGGAGGACAGGCAAGCGGGGAAGAGTGAGACAGACGATTATGCTACCCTGGGAGGGGGGAGGGGAGAGGGTGAGGAGGTGGGAATACTGGCATCACTCAAGCAGCAGTGGCAGCGGAACGTGGAGGATGCGAGAGAGGCAGCCGAGGCGAGGCAACAAGCAGAGGGACTCCTGAAAGACCTTCAGGCGCACTACACCAGCAGGAGCACCTCGCAGCAGGGCCAGCAGGAGCAGCCTCTGCATGTGAGAGAGGTGCTGTGGAAGAGAAGGTATCAGAGGGACGTTCAGGAGGAGGTTTTGGCAGCGAGGGAGGAGATTTCCCGCGTTGTTGCCGCTTTCCAGGAAGCTTCCCTTGCTGGTGTCCCGGAGCGGGCGGCGACAGACCAGGCCTGTGCTGACGTGGCAGCGGTGGCTGCTTTGACTGGCCTCTCTCCCGAGGCTGATTCTGCTTTAGGTTCGGATGCTTCAGTTGGTTCCTCGGGGGGGGATTTGGGAGGGGCTGACTGGGTTCCTGTTCTGGGAGAGCCTGTGTATGTGAGGAGGTTCGGCACCAGTATGCGTGGTACGGTGGTGGCAGTGGGCGGTGGTTCGGGAGAAGCCTCGGCAGAAACAGCAGCTGCTCGGTCTGTGATGGTTCAACTGGGAAATCTGCGATTGCAAGTGCAGAGAGCAGACCTCCTTCCCGCCGCCGATGGCGGTGGTGATGGTGGACAGAGCAGGACAGATGGAGAGGCAGGAAGGAGGGGGGGAACAGGAAGACTGTTTGGCAGTCAATGGGAGCAAGATGACGACAGCAACAGCAATAGCAACACAAATAAGTCTCGTGTCTCCAAGCGTGGCGGTCAGTTCCCCTCCCCGTCCTCCTCCTCTTCCTCCCCTCTGCCAGCAGTGAGAGAGGCAGCGGTACAGACAGCGCGAAACACAGTGGATGTGAGGGGGCGGAGTGCAGAGGATGCATTAGCAGCGGTGGACCTAGCAGTGCAGTCCAGCCCGCCTGGTGCTGTGCTCTTCATTGTGCATGGGCTTGGCACGGGCGTGCTTCGGGCAGCTGTGCTGAAATATCTTTCGGGCAGCCCGCTGGTTTCGCGGCACGAGCCGGAAAGCAGGTTGAATATTGGGTGTACTATTGTTTACATTGGGTGAGGAGAGGGTTTGTGTTGTGGTTGCAGTGGTGTGGTTGGGACTGTTGCTGGCACCGGTGAATAGAATGTATTCAATGCTTCCCGTGGGAAACAAGGCAACATCTCGTCAAGGCAACAACTCCACTACGGAAACCGCAGCAACACGTTACACATCACTCCACTAGGGAAATGGGAGGCACTAGGCAACTTGCAACAAGAGGAGCTCGACACAGTCAGTGCCTTCAGTAGCTAACTCATGACTATTCTTGCCCGGTGCCACGTTAGAGAGCCCGGTGTGCAGAGCAGCCCTGATAAGTACTCTGGTCAAGAAGAGATGACAGTTATGGATGAGGGAATGCTCTACCCAGTCACACCGCGTCAACTTGTTGCCACCCTGTGCCAGATTGTTGCGACCGTTCATAGGATGATGAAGCATTCCTTTTTGCATGGTCACGTGTTAGTCCTTGATGTGCGTTTGTGAACTTGGAGTTTTTATATTCGTTCATGGAGATGGTGAAACTGTCATGCACTACACCCCTCCTGGTTACAGAGCTTAATAAATAGGTCATTCATGGGCATCCCCACCCACACAAGACTTCAGTTCAGGGAAAGTACCGGTAGCTGGAGTAAGCACGGACCCTCGGCAACTTGCAACAAGAGGAGCACGACACATTTCATTCAGAGCTAACTCTATGGTCGTGGATGGAACTTGGTCGTTGTCAAGCGTCAAGGGGCCAGAAGAGTCGCTTCGCTGAAGAGAAGGTCCCCTCCGCACTCAAACCATGTCAGCCCCTTGCCACACTTCCACTTCGTGTCAAGCTGCCTCTTCTCACAGCAAGCACCCCTCAGGGAACCCACTTTAGATTCCCTAGCGCAACAAGAAGTAAAATTAGAGGCCGATATGCCATGCCAAAGAATGACAACATACAAAATGTTCAGCAGCCAGCCAGACACAAGCTTCTGGAAAGATATCGCGCTCACTCCAGTTTTGACTAAGGTGTCGACGAGCTCCCCCCCACTGAATAACTCAATCCCAACTGGAACAAATGCAAACAAAGTCAGCACCCATCGTCCAACGCATTCTTAACACACTCTGGTTGAAGGAGAAACACACTTACCATATCCACCAATTTTCCCATTGAAAGTCATCCACTTACCATATTGAGTTTGTTCCTCCCCGTGAATAGCTTCGCGCGGTCTGCATTCGGCATGGAAGCGGACATCTCGCTCTTCACGTGAACAAACTCAAAGGACTGCGGGTTGTCCTTGGGCGTCCATACGACTCCTCCGTTGGCCGTGAAATCGAAACAAATGAACTTCTGAAGTACTTGGCAATTGAAATCACCTGCGAATGAAAGAGAAAAACAGAGCACCAACAGGGTTCAGCCTTTGCCTAGATGAGGGGCGGACAAGATAGAGAGTGTTCCTTGACCTACTACTCACCGACTTTATGGTAATGCTCATGATTTCCTTCCGAGACATACACAATGGGATGCGTTCCCATCACCGTAGCAAACTTCTTTGACTTGGGATCGTCCCAGTCAGCCCCTTCATCCCACGCCCACATGGGGCCGTCGCCGTGCTGCGCGTACCAAATGCGCTGCGGCTGGCCGGTCTTTGAGAAGCGGATTGCAATCGCCACCAGGTCCGTTACATGGTTGTGCTTCCCAGCAAGGCGGTTGACATAGTTCTGCAAACGAGGAGGGTTGAATAGTTGAAACAGATTGACAGCATTTAAAAAAGGGGTGTGGGAGTGAGAGAGGGGAGGAGGCAAACGGAAGTTCTTGGAATACTCACCTAAGGGTAGAAGAGCCAATACTGAATCTCCACAAACGGGTCTTGGTCGTCGGATTTCGGATTGTAAATGACGGTATACAACGTCGTGCCTCCGTATTCAATTTCATAATCTGTACCATCCTCAGAAAAAAAGCCTTTGGAGGCAGTCACGTGTGTGAGGTAATCGTCGATCGTGATTGGCCAGATGGTCTCATCGGGGTGGAACTTGTACTGCGGCGAGTACTTGACGGCCAGGTTCTTCCAGAACGGATCGCACGCGGGGTTTGTCTGCGGGTCGGTCATGCACGGGTCAGCAGGTGGGGGCGGGTCCACCTCTCCAGCAGGCATGGGCGGGTTGGCGTTGCGAACCAGCATGGCGAATTGCTCCTGGAACCACTGGCCAGCTCGCGGCGCGTCTGCCGGGGCGTCCAGGCCAAGCGGGTCCATGCGGTCGCATTCGCGATCCACGGGAAGCGGCTCCGGAATCTCCTTTCAGAATTGAATACATCGTGGAAAGGGAGGAAGAGATATGAGCCAAGGAGAAGGAAGAAACTACAGTTTGTGGATGCATGCATCAGACGAACCACAAACGGAATTTCTGGACTGAAACGAAATTTGTAAATGCAGGCCGCGGACTAGGACACTTACGCGTGACCATCGCTCTCCCCAGGCGGCTTGATCCAGACCACAGCGTCAACTGTCGGCAGGCAAGCAAGGTAGGGAGTCACAAGGGGGAAACGATAGTAAAATCAGAATTGTACTAAAGAGAATAAAACGGATACGGACAATTTGCAACAGCACGAGGGAGAGAAGCAGGATGCTATTGAAAGATACCAAGTGCTCACTTTGCGGAGCATCAGCGGGATCCGCCTGGGGGCATTCTCCGATCCCCGCGTTCTTCACGTTGCACCACGACCCCCAGCGCGTTCGAATGCCAGCGACGCCGGACCGGCTGGTGTCAACGATCCACCTGGTGGGCAGTCCCGCGGCCCCCAGGAACGCATTGAGGCGCGCGGTGAAGCGGTTCTCGTCAATGCACGGGTTCCAGTCATAGTTCATTTCGCCCGTGCTCGGGTTCTGTGCGAGCGGGCATTTCTCCGACGCCGGGCAGCCGTCGTCGGACGCGAAGAGCGGGCTGTAGTTGGCCACGTTGGACGCGAAGCCGCGGATCTTGGCGTTCTCGCGGATCTGCCGCGCGCGCGCGAGGACTTTCATGTACACCGCCATGACGCGCTTCATCACTTCCGGCCACCCTGCTCTCGCATTAGACGGGGAGCGGATTAGGGTTGCGGGGTGGGGTGAGGGGGGAAGGGTGCGAAGCGAAACGACGGAAGCAGGGGTCCAGCTGCAAAGGGACGTTGCGCAAAAGAATTGGTGCTCAGGGGAACGCTGCGCAAATCGTGGCGGATCTGGGGCGATCAGGGCCGTCGGATCAGCCGGATGGGGGATCACATCCCTTCGAGATGCCAGCCGGTGTTGACGAGGGTTTGGAGCGGGAAGGGGGCGCAGGGGCAAAGGCAGCCGCACACGCACTAGCCGAGCCAGCCGCCGAAGCCGGAGTCGAGATAGAGCGTGGTGTCGGGGATCTGCGAGAGCTCCGCGATGGCATACGCGACGCCCTCCATGTATTCCTGCTCCGTCGTCGCGTCGCACCGATTCGTGCCCATGTTGGTCGCGATGTTGGGCAGCGAGTCGGGCTCGATCACGAGCGACAGACGCACGTTCGCCGCCTTGTTTTTAAGGCGCGCCACGGCAACATCAATGTACTTGGCCTTGTACGTGTCGAGGCCGCCCTTGGGAATCTCCCCGTTGGACGACCACGTCTTGCAGTCGCGGCCCGGGAGGTCGTAGATCACGAATTGCACGAGAATCGGGTTTCCCCCCGCCTGAGCCGCTGCGGCGTCCAGGTGGCCCTGGATGGCGTCGAGCTTCGCCATCGTGTCGAGCCACACGGCCGTCGGATGCTCCGCCACGCTCGCGAAAAACGGCGCATCCCCGGGAGTCGCGGCGCGCATCGCGGCTTCTACGCTTGCCTTGTACTCGGGGTTGAGGTACTGCTGGACTCCCGTGTACGGGTTGCCGGTCGCGCTGTCGGTAACGCGGTAACCGCACGACGTGCCATTGGCGGCGACCAATTCTGTCGCGTTGATTGCCCCTTTGAGCCAGCACGAGCCACCATTTTCGGCCGTCCACGTCCAATGCGTGCAATCCGCGCGATCGAGGCACTGCTTTCCGCACGTGTCGCCCATGCCGGCGGCTCGGTCAACGTCGTTGCCCTTCCAGTCGCAGTCGAACGACCACATCACCCCCCCCTGCTCGGAGCTTGAGAAGCTGAATGCTAACGTGGCTCTCACTGAGAGATTGAGAGCCACCAGCACTACTACTAGTCCTACCAGTGCCAATGCGTTTCGGAAATACCTAGCCGCCATCGTTTTGGTTGGTTGTTTGGAAGGAATAATAGAGTTGCGAATGATTGAGTATCGACGTACTCAAGGGACCGTCGCTTTTTATAGCTGGGGACCAGAACTGCGGCTCGGATCGCATCAGGGGGAAGCTTACAATGCCTCTCGTTTCCCATAATGCTTTCCGACCTACGGTCCGAGACGTGAGTTCTGAGAATCCTTGGTGACGCCATGGCTTGTGAGACAAGTTCCCGTGTATGTGTTAGCTGCGCACGGGTTTCTGTAATGTGTGGATGCCGTGGCGTGCGCTGGTGAGGAAATCTGGAATCTGCTTGCAGATCTGCAAGGGGGCTGTCCGAAGGGAAGCGATACTCCATAGATTGTCGTTCAGAGTGATTGTGAAGGTTTTGACGCGGTACCACACGGTACTGTATTGACCAGTTTGAAACGAAACTCACCAAACAAAACCGTGCTCGGCGACCTACGAAGCCTGGTGACACTCCGTAACATAATTGTGATGCATGTAACATGAATAGCGATCGGAAAGCTGACCTGAAACCGCAACCGCGAGCTTCGTCGAGCAGCAACAGCTCCTCGTCCACATTCCGGCCGACTCGCCCACAGAAGCTGAAATCGATGCTGGCGACACCTCGTGAGGTTTCGCCAACCGAATGCGATGTTGCGTTGCAAGCAGCCCTGGCGCGAAATATGAACATGTTTCCCGTGCCGAGCAAAACTTGTCGGAGAGCAAATCTGTCGGAAGTTTCGTTCAGTGGGTTTCAACACGGTTGATTGCGGTTGTATTTGAGTTACAGGTTAGGAAATCAAAGCTCCAAATCCGTCCATGTACAACGTTGGCGAAGGAAGGTGCACACCTCCAGCGGGTAACGCAATTTTCCATGTGAAAAGAGATGGCGAGGGAGGACTAGCCTGGGGATGCGTTCGCGATGGTTCGGGCTATCATCGCTTGTATTTCGTTGGGCAATTCACTGTGCTTTACACACACTGATGCGTCGCACACGGGTAGAAATCTGTAGCAAAAAACATTGCCAGGTTTCGCAAAGCGTGTGCGATGTTGCCCTCATCGCAAGCACGGTGATCACAGTCGCAACAGCCTGCACCAGGATAACCTCCACAAGAAGCAATCCATGGCGTCCCTCGTCTTCCCTACCTCCTGTAGAGTATTTCATTATTGTTCATGCGACGTAGTCGAGATAGTGTAACTCGTACAACTACGTTGTCTCGCCAAAGTCAGGCCCGTGCGGTTTTAATATTTTTCGATTTTTGTCTCGTCAACTCTCAAGAAACGCCGCCGCCGCCATCATAACCCTACTGGCACGACCTTGAAGCAATCTCTTGCCGCCTCGACCTACCGTAACTGCAATTTCATCGTAGGCTCGAACCCCGATTGCGCGCCGAGCTCGCGGGATGGCTGCAGGATCGGATCGTGCAGGCGGAGTCACAATTCCGGAGCGGGCTGTCCAGCGCGCCATGGCATTCGCATGACAAGGCGGGGAGTGCCACGGCGCGGGGAACAAACAGTTTTGCCGGCGCTACCAGCGGTACGAGCGGTATCAGCAGCGGGTGTTTGTAACGACCCTTTGGCACATGAATGACTGTAACGAGTCAGCAGAGCGCGCTCCCCTCACCGTCAGCTACGTCTGACAGGGTGGATAAGAGGAGAGGGGAGGTGGCGCCCTCTCTAGACTCAAATCGCCCTAGCTGGCTGTGCACGATGTGCATCATTGCCAGCATCACCAACGCCACCACATCACTGCCCCAACCGTTCTGCTGCATTCTCACCTCACATGCTGCCATGCCGCTCCCCATACACCATGCCATGCTGTGCCTTCTCTCCTATCCACTATCGTTCCTCCCACCCTTCCAAATCCATCCCCGGCGCCTACTTCACTCCATGCACTCCGCTCCTAGCCAGGCTACACGTGTCCCCTCCTCATTCGCCACAATGCTGGCCTTTCCTCTGCATGTATCCCCCGTTCTGCTGCTGTTATCCCTCCATTTCCCCACCATCCTCCCCATTCCTCCCCATCCCGCCCCTTTTCCCTCTCTCCCCTCAGGCAGGCCAGAGCCCACCCCAAGCAGGGCACGGCACCCCATGCTCCACTCTCCCCTTCTCCTCCCTGCTCTCCTCTCCACCTCCCACTTTTCGCCTTTCAGCCAGCCCACTTCCCACCCAAGCCAGACATCTCTCCCCATGCGCACTCGATCCTCGTCTCCAATCTCTCATCACACATCCGTTCCTTCAACCCTGACCCTCTTTCCGCCACTTCTCATTCCGAGCAATATGCATGAGGCAAGGGCGTGTGGCACTGCAGTCTGCCTTGCCTTCTGGACTGCCCTTGTAAAATCCCCCCCTCCTGCTCGTGCCCCATACCACTCGTGCGCCCTGCTCATGCTGTCCACGTGCCATTGATCTAGCAGCCGAGAGAGATCCCTGGTCTACAATTGTAACATCTCCTTCTCCCCACTCTACTCCTCACCTTCCCTCCCTCCCCCCTCTCCTCTCACTTCCCTTTCTTTGGTTATCTCCACCCCCCCCTGCTATCTTCTCCCCCTCTCTCCCCGTGCACTCTCTCCCCTCGTACCCCCTCTCCCCTCTCCCCCCCACTCTGCTGCTGCTTATCCCATGCGGCCATCGGTGCTGGCAGGTCATTCAACGCTCACCCTCGCAAGCCAATCAGCTTCACCAATGCACCAATGGCAACCAATGGGAACGTGAAGAATGGTGGCAGGGGATGGGGACACGGGGAGAGAAGCTTGGAGCATGCATGCATGCAGAGTGGGGTGGGGTGGGGTGGGGTGGTGTCCAGTGGACGTGTGACCTGAGTGGTGGTGTCACAGCAGCACACAAGCCTCAACCGTTGCTCGCATTCAGATGCTGGCTGTGATGGAAGACATCACAACCTTGAGTGTCGTGAGTCCTCACCTCGTAAGGCAGTGGCCTCAGAAGAAACGCCTCCATCACCCTTGCAACTTCCTCCCTCGCTTGCGCCTCTTCCCCTCGCTCCTTGCTCACCCGCTCCTTCTCTGTCAGACATATCCCCCTCTGCTTCATTGCCACTCGTTGTACCAACACCAGCACAACCCCTTGCATCGCTCTCACTCGATTCCATCACACCTCCCCTGCCCCCCCCGTTCCCCACCCTCAACTCCCCTCCTCCACTGTCCGTTCTTTCCATGTATCCCTGTACCTTCTCCCGCCCTCCTCGTGGTGCTGAGGGTAGTATGGTGGTGCTGAGGGTAGTATGGTGGTGCTGAGGGTAGTATGGTGGTGCTGAGGGTAGTATGGTGGTGCTGAGGGTAGTATGGTGGTGCTGAGGGTAGTATGGTGGTGCTGAGGGTAGTATGGTGGTGCTGAGGGTAGTATGGTGGTGCTGAGGGTAGTATGGTGGTGCTGAGGGTAGTATGGTGGTGCTGAGGGTAGTATGGTGGTGCTGAGGGTAGTATGGTGGTGCTGAGGGTAGTATGATGGTGCTGAGGGTAGTATGGTGGTGCTGAGGGTAGTATGGTGGTGCTGATGGTAGTATGGTGGTGCTGAGGGTGTTTAGCAGTGCTCCAACGCATTCTTGAGCTTAGCAGTGAACTGTTGGTGGGTGCAATAAGAAGCAACGTCAGAGCCTAGTGTGCAGCCCTCATAACTGGCAGCATCGCCAGGTCACTGCCTATTCCAGTCAAGAAGAAATGACAGGTATGGGTGAGAATTTGCTGTAGCCAGTCACACCTTGTCAACTCGTTGCCATCTTGTGCCAGATTGTTGCGACTGTTCAGAGAATGATGAAGCGTTCCTTTCTCCATGTATGGTCACGTGTTCGTACTACGGTAGTTACGACATAGA